CTGCAGCAAACAATCAAACAGGATTGTGTTTATGTTTTCATGTTGCTTTTATTGTTTATGAGATATTACATTATATAGATATAGTAGATTTTTATTTTAATATGCATTTTAAGGTAGTTCTAACACTTTGGTGTCAATTTAAAGCTCAAAATGAAGAGGGTTTTTGTCATTTTTGTCCATCATCATTTGTTTAATCAATACTTAGTAAATCTTAGTGTAAATTTCAAATTTAATTTGTCAACAACGGAATTTTCGTATAGGAAATTTCTTTGGTAAAGTAATTGTATAATTTTAAGCATACAAGCGTATTATAATTTTTTGGGCTTCAACTTTGGTTATTTACTTGTATTTTAAATCGAGCAAAAAATGTTATTTGGAAAATTTGCATGCTGTTTTTCTAACATTATCTTTTACTATTTTAACTATTTTGGTTTATCATGAAGCTTTATGTTATTTTGCACATATAGATTAGCTTCATATACCAGATATTAAAGCTTGTTCATTATTGAAAAGGTTTTGTTTATATTAAAACAATGTTCAATTTAGTCTAGAAATTAATTATTGTTTATCTTTAGTTTAAATTTTAGATATTAATTTACATTTCAATATATTTACATTTTCCTGCATTTAAGAATGGTTCTCACTCAGTTAAAGAAATAAATGTCTGGTTATCTTAAATACACAAACATGTACATTTTGTACATTAAAAAAGGACTTTAACCATGCACATTATTGTAGAAAAGATGTGATCTGGTACATGACTACATGGAGTTAAGGTGTCTGCCTTCAACCCAAAGATCATGGGTTTGAGCTATACTAGAGTAAGAAGTTACCACATCACATGAGTGTATGATCGTAACCATCTTAGCAGGGTCCATAGCTGTATTTTTGCATTAAAACTGCATGCCTCCAGATGAGCCGAAATATTTTAAGAAATTCATACTTGAGAAAAATGTACTAAGATTTTAAGAAAAGCAGAAATATTCAATATTCAAGTAATAATTTACATGTTTTATGTGGTTAAAGACTGATTTTGCAGGGTTTATGACCATATTTCTTCTGTGTGACTTATGCAGTAAAGGCTATTTTTTAATATTTTTACCTCTTTTGGGGAATTTAATTGAATTATAAGTCGCTTTTTCATGAAAGCTAGTATTAATCTGGAGGCATGCTGCTATTAAGTGTTATTTACACAACAACAATAATTATGATAAATGATATAAAAATAATCATTAATTTTCATGTATTTTGTATCTAAATTAAATATTGTCCAAATTTAAGTAAAACTTAAGCACATGCATAATTCGTAACAGACATGTACATGTATAGATAAAGTAAGTAAGCTTTATTGTTACAAATCTGTGCAAATTTATTGGCCTTGATTTTTCATTATTTTCTTCATATGGGGTGATTTTTGCTCTTCAAAACATATTTTCTTCATACAGTTTCATAAAGCTTTTTGTATAGGTGCAGAGCTAAAACCTTATATAGGATGAATTATAGTGTTATGATTTAAAGTGACACACCTCCAGATCAATTAAATCAATCTTCACAAAGTAAAACTTAAGTAAAATATATTCATAGCTTAAGAAATATATAAATATTCATCATCCAAGAATGTGTTATGAAATTTTGACAGATTTTTTTTCTTTTTCATCAAAATTTTAACGTATTACTTACAGAGAAAAAGAAATTTCCAAAAATTAGGTCAAATAGGAGGTGCATGTATAGGCTTCCTTGTGAAATTATATTTGTTTTCATATTTTAGTACAGTTAATGCAATTGGATAGTAAATGCCTAATTTAAAACTAAGTTAAAGTGCCTTCTTGGAAGCTTGATTGCATTTTTACTCTGAATAATTCTTCTTTTTTTTTTTAAAGATTTGATACAAATCTGGAAGCATACTGCTTTAAATAAGATTTCAGCTAATTTGTAATATTCACCACATCATCCTTTTCATTCTTTTCATCATGCATTTTTTGTACATTTCCTCTTACACTAATGTATTTGTCTGTGATGCTTTATTTATATAAACAAACATTTTATATATGTTGTTTTAGTTTATAATAAAAGAAAGGATAAAAAACTGAAAAGGTGTTGTCTTTATTTAGCAAATATATACTTTATTTGTAAAACCTGAACATAAAGTCCAAGTGGTGAAGTCTGCTGACTTCCACAGTTAAGGGATTCATTATTTAATGGACTTCTGATCACTTTGGATATTGAATTTGTTAGAAAATTGGCTAACTGAGTGAAGGTATTTTTGTTCCATCAACATTCTTGTCAATTCTGGAAATAATGCTTAGAGGGAGCTGCTTCATATGATCTTAACCATGTTCACAAGAATAAGCTGAACAAAGCACACAAAAAAGGTATACCTGTATTATAAAGTGATTACTCTCTGGCAAATTGATTAAATTCTGGGTTTGACAGTCTAATATACATCGTCAACTCACATTGGTGTTAGTTGTTTCAAATGAGGAGTGGCCAAGTATTGAGTTGATAACTGTTCTTGTGCACATCATACAATGTACTATTCAATTTTGCCAGAGATACATTTCAGCAGCATTGTATTACCCCTGTATATAAGAGAAAATTTCTTCAATTTTTTGCAAGGCTTGCTTAGCATTTGACCAGTGTCAAACTGAAACTTGACAGCCTTGATTAATATAACATTGATATGCATCAGTGATCCAGAAGTGTTTCAAATTTTGTGCAAGAAGTTATATCTCAAAATCATAAGTTATGTTGTATATATATGTATTTTGTTCATTTGCAAAGACTAATAAACTACATAGTGTGATGCATCAGTAATCTTTAAAGAAATGTCTCATTCAATAGCCAGATTAAATAAGTAATGTTATATCTATGCATCAGCAATTCTTATAGGCCTGTAATATAAAAAGTGCACAGGTTAAACAGCTTAAGGGCGTCAAAACTAATGACTCTAGGTCAAAGATACATGAAGAATACAAAGCACATAGACTTAACTTTGGAAATTTGATCAAACAGAAAAAAAGGAAATTATTTTTAAATAAATATAAGTTCACTCTTGGCCCTTCATTACATTTGTTTTTGTTTCAAGTAATTTTTGGTATATCAAAGTAATTTATAATGATGTTGCGTGTAAACTTTCCGTTATTGAAAAAATGCACTTTCCGTGTATTAATACCGGAAGTTTGATGTAGTCAAGCTGACCCGGAAGTGAGTTTATTTGTCAACATTTTTCCAAGTCAATGTGAAAATGTGGTCATGAAACGATGAATTAAAGAGGCAACATGAAAACTGTAATTGATACAACGAGACTGATTTTATTTCTGCTGTCATTTTTCATTCAAAGCGGAAAATGTCTCCATATAACTGGTACATGGCATACGTCGGAGTTCTTTTTATTTCTTGCCAGGTTTGGATTCCAAAAAACAGACCCAGGGATGCTGGATGATACACAAGGCTTTATCTATGGAAATATTACGTCATCATCAAAACTTGACAGTTATTTTAATTTAGTTTTAGTTGATAGCGAGTATTTTATGGAGTACTATGGTAACAGTACACTGGTCAATACTGCAGGCTGTCGAAATATGTTTAAAAAGATGGATAACACAGCATTTGATAGTAACTGTCAGACACATGGAACAGAGGATTTTTTGCGAAAGATTCCATGTAGAAAGAATAAACTATGTATAGATGAAGATAATCCCGATAATGTAGAATCAGGATATCAGTTTACTTACAAAGTACAAAACTCGCAACAGCCAAGGTAAACAAATCATAGCACATGTAAATTACTAATTAAAATATTATCTAAATTCAGAGACATAGACAACAGAGATAGGCAACTTCATAGCCAGTTAAAATATAACGCGTGCTTGCTAAACTTCTAGCAAGTAATACTTATTAACCAGATATCAAAATCAGTAAAATAATACATTTTCTGAAAGCTTATGCATTTGTCTATGGCTGCAGGTAAAAACATTTACAGTTCCCATTCAAATAGATGATACATCAATTTTTAAAGAGAACTGCTCATTAATTTTTGTTACAGAACTTTTTATATGATGATAAAACTGGCTCAGTGGGTATGTTCTGCTATGTTTTTCTAAGTGAAATGCAAGGAAAGTTACCAATATTTTAACATACAGCAATAGATAAAAGATTTAACTTTCAAATGGTGTAATTATAATATAAAAGGATCAAATGCACATCCATTAAGTTTTATTTGCTACAAAATGCCTAATTTTTCACCTTTTTGATAGGCATGAGTGATATTTCAATAGAGTATAATAGGAGCTGCTTATCTCTGTTATCTACATCTCTGCTAAATTCTAGTGGTCTTTCAAATAGAGGTTAATATATATTGTGATACCAGATCATTCTGTATGAAAGACCCTTAGTTATTTGATGCAATTTCTATTAAAATAATTTGATTTATTTAACCAAAATTTTTTATTTATTGCCACATAGGATTCTTTTTTTAGAATAATTACAAAAATGTAAAATTGATTGTATATTTAAAACACATTTCATAAATGTATTCCAGTAAGTCTCTGATTTAAGCAGGCTTCTTAAATGTTTTTCATTTTACAGGTTTTGGTACTTAAGCATGGTTGCTTGCCATAGGGAAAAAGGAGACTGTAAATGGATGGCAAATAAGTCAGTGAGTGTAGAAATAAAATATGACATCTGGCTAGTAAATGGAGACCCAGCATCAAAACATCTCAACCCTTTTGAACATCAATTTTCATTTGAGATGCATGACGTGTTTGAAATATATGCTTTATTCTTTGTGCTTTATATGATCACTTTACCAGTTTGGATATATGCTTACAAACAACAAGTTCATCCAATCACAAAGTTATTAACTATCTGTATTTCAACAGAATTTGCTGGTGTTGTGCTAAATTTTTTACATGTGCTTGTATTCTGTATAAATGGTGTGGGAGCTGAGTGGTTAAAAGTGATTGGTAATTTATTGGGGTCATTTTCAGAATGTTTGTTTATGTTGTTATTGTTACTTATTGCCAAAGGCTGGACAATTATCAGTATGAAACTTTCCGGCAAACGACTGCTAGTCTTCTTTTGGGGAATCTATACAGCATTAAATGCATTATTCTTCATTGTTAACTTGGTAAGTATATAATACATAATTTTCTTATATTTCAAATAACATTTTTTTTCTTCTTGATCACAAAATTTTGATGCCAGTGTTTTGAATGATTATAAACTGGATTTATAAAAAGATTATTATATGTACGTATAGATTTCTATAAAAATTTAAGATGAATAGATTTCTAATTTCTATATTAAATTATCATGTGCAGTCAATGCAAACATACCTCTTTATATACAGATTGCTTAAACATAACCAAATTGCTAACATTCATTATACAATTTAATAACACATGATACTTGTATAAACTAACTTAACTATTACTAAAGTATATAAAGTTTGTTAAAACAGATTGCTAATATTAACAGACTGTTAAAACATAAACAGCTTCAACATTATCATTCAGATACAAGATCATCTGTCTGTGCTATACTAAGCATACCAATCAGGGTGTCCGTTTGACCCTTGAAATGACTCTTTGACTCTTCAAATTTCCAGAAGGCCTGATTTGACCCTCAGGATTTTAACTGGATGGTCAAATTTTGTTAAAATCATGGGGATTTGACCTTGTAGTCGATTAAACTTAGTCAAAATGACCCTCAGGATTTCATGGCTAGTGAACACCCTGCCAATACATAGGTCAATAAGTTGTCATCATATCTGAAGTTATGATGTTGAGTAACATCAACTTGCAAGCATCTCATAAAACACTTGACAATCACAAAATAAAAACACATTTTAATACTTTTATGATATCAAGAGTGATTGACATTTAAATACAACAAACATTAAAATTTGTTAATTTCAAAGTTAACCATGTTATTCAGTCTCGGCATACATTAAACATTTAAAATGCAAAATAACGTTTACATTTTATCCCATTACTCCCTTAATTTCTTAAATCGATTTGTCCTCCCATTTTATGGAATGTCCATCACCAATTTTGATGATATCTAGGTGAAATTTTGAAATTATTCAGCTAACAGTATAAAGCCTGGTCAGACTGCACAGATACATGAGTTGGCCTTGCATATACTGGCGGAAAAGTTCTAAAGCTTTCCGTTTCAGCCGGGTAAGGGCTAAACATTTTGTAATGTCAGTAACCGATGTACTCATTGATACAACATCTGTTTGATATGTCATTATTAAACAGTTATTTTTTTTTTTTCAGACCAAAGTAAACATTATAGTAAACATAGATGAGTGGAACTCATGGCCTGGATATCTTATTGTATGTTTTCGTATTGTCGTCATGATCTGGTTCTTCCTTACGTTAAAAGACACGTTTCAAAGGAGTAAACATCAAAATAGACTGGACTTTTTCCAACAGTTTGGGGCTTATTACCTTGTCTGGTTCATATACTTGCCTATACTCGTCATTGTTGCCTCACAGATTTCACATTTATGGAGATATAAAACTATTCTCGGTGAGTATAATAAGTGGAATTGGCATTTTTATGGTAGTTTACACCTTGAATTACCTTGTATAGGTCAAATGTATTCTCTTTATGACATCTTTTCAGAAAATTACTAATTTACAATGTATGACATACATGTACATGTTAGGTTTTTTTCTAAGCACTTTAGGAACATGACCTGACACCCAGAATTGGGAATTTTTACAATGTTTTAGACAAAATGTAAAAAAACTGACAACATAACTGGTATTGTATACATCAAATTAAGACAAAGAAATCAAATTTTTGGTTAATTAAACTTATTTTATATTTCACTCATACCGTAAGCATATTACAATTGGGAATGCAAGATTACATTTTTCTGTGGCACAATTCAGTTAAATTTGTAACAAAATGACAATATTTTACTTATTTAATTTTCTGTTCCTTTAATTGGAAATTTTCTCCTTAAAATTGGAAAAAAACATACTTTTTGATATTGGGAACATTACCAAATATCGGTCATCAAAATGGGCCAGGAAAAAAACCTTGATGTATATCATTGAATTTTATATGTCTATGTTTATAAAATTATTATAAATACATGATTGTATAATTTCACTGTAGCTGAATTGTATTTAAATCTGGAAGAATAGCATTATTTCAAAACGTAATGGAAATTTTATGATAGATAATATACTAGTAAATTTTTATATATGTTAAACTGTGCATCATGGTTACTACAGTCACAAAGTTTAAAAGTGTAATTTTTCATGTTAAAATGTAGTAGAATTCTATATATCTTTTACACTGATTTTTAATTCCCTGCAATAAAGAGGTGAGTGGATTATAGGAATGACATCTACACATTTAAGTGTTTGCTGAAAAGTTTTTAAAAAACATTATGTTACAATGTGAAGAGCACAACAACTAGGGCTGCGTTTCATGGAGTCTAAGTTCTAAGTTAATCCTAAATCCTAGGACTTACAACCAACTTTAGGAGAAAAACATCTCAATTTTAACCTTAAAACTGACTCAAGTCTTAGTACTCTTTATAAAACACAACCCCAGTTGTTACCTTCAAGGTCAAGGTTACAGGTTAAATGTTAGAAGTCCACATTTCATGTTCTCTTCATAACTTTTTGATTTTCTGAAAGTTTTAAAATTACTAGGCCAAATATGATTACTACCATGTCAAGATGTCTAGATTTTACCCAGAGGTCAAGGTCACATGTATAGGTTAAGTGTTTTGAGTGAACACCAGATGATTGTATTTGTTTCAATAATGACATATGAAAATGTGACATGTGGTGTTCTCTAGTGAAATAAATTTTGATTAAGATAGTCTAACTGTAATGCTTTCACCCCAATATTGTAGAAAGTTGGTTATTTCCAGAATGTTATTTTTCCAAAATTTTGGGTATTAGATATTAAACAATCACTCATCCTTTATTGCTGAGTCGGGTTATAAATGGTTAGAAATTATTGAATACCGAAGATTGTGAAAAATAACATTCCAGAAATGACCAATTTATTACCATATTGGCCAGTGTTAGAATCTTTTGGTGGGAAGGCATTACAGTAGGACTACCTTAACTTTAAACAAGTAAAATGTTTACCAACACCAAATTTCTGCTATATTACTACAGTGTATCATTCTTTTCAATTTAATATTTCCAGCTGTGCGACAACACTGTAATTATTTGCAGCAATTCTAAACCTCATTATTTCAGCTATATCATACAGTTTACTAATTAACTTCTGTCATTGCAAATATCATCCTATTTCCCCAGTGTATTAGCGTATCATTTATCATACAGATATGATATTTACTGGTTTATCTCAGACCCTCTGGCTAATATTATAGTCAATGTACTGATATTATCGTACACAGCTTTCAATATATTTTCAATGAAGCTGTAAAGATTCTCTATTTTACACGTAATGTTGTCATTGTGTATAAATTAATTTCATTTTTTTTTGCAGGTATTACATATTCAGCAGATCTGTTATCCTATATTGTATTAATACACTTGTTGTGGCCATCAAGATCTGTGCTGTATTTGATAAAAGGGGACACACCACTTCCCCAGTATGACTTAGAAGCAACTGGTAAGAGTCAACAAATCTAATTCATTTTTTAATGGAAATAAAAAATGTTATACTCTATTTCTTTAATGGAAAAATGACAAACACCATTGTTACCCAAGTAATGATTTAACCTTTAGTTAAGGTTGAGACATAGACACTTTTACTACTAGGCCGCTTGCTCCCTATCATTTGTAGCTTCAATAAGTGGTCATTTTGGCCTAGTTCATAAAAAAAATGTCACCAATTTTTAACTTTTCAAATACATATACATGTAATTTATATAACCAGAATAAGGATAATTTGATAGAATTATTTAAACTTGGACGCCTTCTCTGGCCTTAAGAATATACATGTATCTGAAACTGTTACCTGCATTCAGATTTAGCTTGAAAATTTTAATAATCTAGGTCACTTATTGATTAAACTTGAATTCTCCAAATGTTATCATTATTTGTATGTTTAATTTTGGATATACTTAAAGTAAAATAAATTCTTCATATCTTTAATGGACAGACTAAGAGGAGTCATTTTTAAAGTAGATATAAATGAATGTATTTTAAGTGCAGATTATTTGTAATGTGCTTATTTAATTGTCTCAATATGAAGATGTGTGCTTTAAAGAATCTGTAAATATATATTTAAAGTGATTTTTAAAAATCCAAAATATATACATTAGTATTGCAGAAGGCAACTAACAAGAGATTCATTTCAAATTTTCAAATGTCATAATTGGTAAATGTTACATACTGGTATTCCTTGAAGAAAAAAAAAACACAAAAAAACCCACAAAAACAAAACAAAACCCAAAGACAGGCTTTGTGCCTTGTGCCAACAAGATTTTACCTTTAAAATAACTGGGGAATTTTGTTGTGAGTAAATGTGTATAGATTAATAATTTTCATTTGCATATACATGTTCATTTTTTTTTATATTCTTAATTGAATTATGCTCCATTTGAGTGGAATATGATTTAGATTCACATTGACAATTTTCTTTCACAGCTCCTATCATAATTGAAATACATGTATAATTTTAAATTTTGAACATTAATTGTTTGATGTACATGTATTTACTGATGAACTGAATGCATAGTAGGCAGAAACAGTAATGAATTTACACCTGAAATTGCTACTTTAAGAAGTCCCATAAATTTGTCTTTATTATATTTCCCTGGGATGTCATACATAAAATTAATTCCATTAATAGCTTAAGTCAAAGCCCAGGTCTATCAGATTCTGTTTAATCAACTCTTATTTCAAACATTGTACTTGTTGATATATGAATACACTGATATGTATATCTGTCTGCTGCCTGGGAACGCATATCAACAACCATCTTCTATACATTTAATTACACTTGGGAGAATATACATGTATATTGATTAGTAATACCAAATTAATGCAACAAACAAATTGTGACAATCTAATTTGTTACTTTTTTTAATGGAAACAAGATTCTGCATGTATTGATTGTTTTTTCATCACTGTTCAGAAATCTGTACACAGAGCCTCTGTTTTTGTAAAAATTTTCCATCACTGTTCAGAATTCTGTACACAGATAATTGTTACTATGGTAGAGTGACTATGACATGAAAAGTCTCATAAAAAATAGGGTAGGTGGGACAGTCATTGCAACAAGCAATGTTATATACCAAAATGTTCGTTAACGCTTGTAGTTTATGAAACCACCAGCATAAATTGGCATAAATGATGGCATTCAAAGAAATCCAAGATGGCCGCCAAGATGGCCGCTTTTGATACTGAACTTTACCCTTAACTTTACATGGCTAAAATTTTGCATATAATTGGATACATTTTTAATATTTATAACATATACAAGTCACTGTAAGGACTGTACAAAGATAAACATATCATTTAAAACAAATTTTCATGCATGATTTGTATTTTCTTATAAAGATTTGTTGATAAAATAGAAGTTTCACAAGAAAGTTTGCTTTAAGCAGTGGGTTAACAATAATTGTTCTGCAGGAATTTTATGTTATTCTACCAAATGAAGATTTTTGGATATGATTGGAAGCTCACATTTGATATTCATTGCTATAATCGACTGTTAACGTTGTTTTTCTTTTGTAGAACATGATAGAATATAAAAATAAAACGCACGTTGGTATTTTAATGGCAAATATATTTTTTCCAGTTAAATAAAGAAAAGTTTATTTAATTTTCAAAGATATGAATTCTTTTGGATCATTTTAGAATGCATAATTTATGAAAAGAAATGTTAAATTTATCAACTCTTTTCTATCTTGACCTCTTTTCTATATTTTAGCAGTTATATTGCATGTGTACCCATGCCCCCCCCCCCCCCCCCCCCCCCCCCCCCCCCAAATAAAATGGAGCATAGGCTAATCACAGGTACACTAAACGTATGATATAGTCTTTTATATGTTAAAAAGACCCTTCATCATTTCATTACGGGTAAACAAGTAATTATTATTATCAAATTTGGAAAATTATATTTTTTGTCATGTTCTGAATAAATTGTTTATGTAAGGAGTACTTTAATCACTGTCTTAGATTACTTGTGACGGGTTTCCTTACCAATTTAACATGCATGGGGTATGGCAAGGAAATCAGTATGCAACATCAATAATTTTGCCCTTCTTGTTTTCTTCCGTTAGAACAATATATTCAAGATTCAGGCATATTTGCTGTAAGAGAATTACAGATTTACAGTTGAGTTAAGAAGGCAAGTTTGTTGCTAACTAAGTAATGGGTGTTTTCATTCTGTACAGTTTGACTATATCCTTGAAGTCACGGAAAATAAAGCACTGGAATCCTCTGGAAGCATTAAAGGTCTAACCCATAATGACTGTGCTCTCTCTCTCACTGGTTTCTTGCAAGGCCATTAATTGCTAAGTATGCTAATACTAATGCACATGCTTTGTGTATAGCCGACTGTTTTATTTTTGATGCTGCTGCAGTATGGCCGTTGTTCAGCTGCTGCAGCCTCAGTCAAGGATAAAGACAACATACCAGATGTAGCTTTTATCGTTGTGGCAAATTGTAGACATATTGTCACATAGTCAAAGTGCACTGCACATAACTGAGTTATTGTCAGATCTATTTTAGAAAGCCTTAAAAACAAACACCCATAAACCGAGGTGAAAATATTTCGCTTTCCAGCCAGTTGTAATTCAGCCAAATATCCAAAAGAAACAAGAATTTGCAACAGAGTTACCAATGTTCCCTGCCTCAGGAAGCATAAAATTGTGCTATTTCAAAAAAATTGAGGCATAAAAAATTGAGGTAATTTTCAGTATGATCAATACCAGATCTGCAGATGCAACAATAATTTTTTAAAGAAATAAAATGAAACAAAGAATTTAAAAATCTATCATGTTTGACCTCTAAGTGTGACCTCGACCTTGTAAGTAGGGATGCAGCTGTTGTGCATGACAAATCTTATTATTGTAACTATTTGTGCAAAGTATTTTCAAAATCCCTTGAACTATGAAGTAGTTATAGATGGGACACAAAATGTACCCTATCACAGACTATGTTAATCTTTGACCTTTAAGTGTGACCTGAGAGGTAGGGACCTTTTGTTTGCGCCTGACACAGGTGTTACGCATGACATATCATCTTATCATTGTGACTATTAGTGCAAAGTATCTTTAAAATCCCTTGATCTATGAAGAAGTTATGATCGGGACACAAAATATACCAGACTCCGTAATTTCTTTTACCTCTAAGTGTGACGTAACCTTGGAGGTAGGTGACTGGTTTTTGTGCATAACACATCGAAACATTATTGTGAACAATTGTGGCAAGTATTGACAAAATCCCTTCAAAGATTAGAAAGTTATTGACCGGACACGACATATACCTTCAAATAGATAATGTTGACCTTGAATGAGCAAGTGCGACCTTGACCCTGGAGATAGAGGTCTTATAAAAATCATTTGTGCCACGCTTACGTTAAATTCCTTTGATTAATGACAAAGTTATGGATCGACACGAAAGTGTGACGACGAACAGAACGGACGTAGCCTTTTTATATCCCCCTTTTTTTCTTCGAAAAGCGGGGGACAAAAATCCACTACAAAATTCTCTACTTGATATCTCACTGAAAACTGTCATGAGTACTTGTCCTCATAAGAGAACCACTAATTATAACAGCAGGAAAGGATTAGATGAACAGTTTTATAAATGACTCTTTCATGTGTGGAGAAGTTCCAAATTAGATTCAATCAATGAGAATCTAATAGCAGGGATTATTCTGCATGTTGCTGTCGCTAAATCATTAGGTGGTGCAGCAAAGCCCTGTTTGTTTTTAGTCCTTATACAGATTTTAATTGTACTTCTTATAAATCATTTCTCAGAGCTTAATATGGAAGTATTTCTTAACTGGTAGTAAAGTAATGCACTGTGCAGAGACCTGACAAAATATATTCCGGTACATACAGTAAATACATTCAGTGTTCTGCCTCCACAACAGAGAAGTATCATACTTTCTGTGTTTTATCTTTTATCTAAGTTTGTGATGCCTGTCATCATTCCGTAGCATAGGAAAGAGGAAGGCTTTTCAGGTAATGTGTAAGTCTGTTAATGATCTTAAAAATCTGACCTAGGAAAAGATCTGGTACTTCCAATTCATGCTAACACTGCTGCATTTTAAGTTTGTTGGTGTTTCGTACAGTGTATCATCCCGGGTTTGTTGCAAAAAGGGGGTCATATCAAGGAAATGACCTTCAACAAATGATAGCTTTATACTTCATTTACTGCGATGTATACTTCAAATATTTGTATGGCGTTCATCTTAGAAAATAATAATTCCTCCACTTCATCAATATTGGATTAAGTTAGGAATGTACAATCCACAGCTTTTGACACAACCTTCAGCCGTACTGGAACTTTTGAGTGACCATGTATATACTTGTTCTAACCTTTGCAGCGATGATCGTGTTTGTTTAGGCAATGAACAGCCGTGTACCATAACAATCTGGTCTTGCAAAGGGGTTCTACATGGGCAAAACCATTTACCATGTCGGCAAATTTTGAGACAAATGATAATCGTGATGATGGTTGTCCATAGTGAAATTGAAAAAAATACACTAAGTGTTACATTGACTGTGGTTTGACATAAATAACAATATCTTTTTTAAATCACTGTGTCATATACACATGGAAAGTTACTGTAAAAAATGACATTGAAAACCCTTTAAATTTTATCAAATTGAACCACTATATTTGTTTTGGTTTTGCTGAATTTTTACATTTATGTAAGCAAATGTATCAATGTTTATGCAAAATAAAAGAAGTTAGTTAACAAGTAATGTTACTACTTGTTTCTACACTCTTAAATGCATGTACATGTTTGAACTTTCATAATGTTTTTCATAGGTTTTGAAATAAGATAAAGATTTATTTAAAAAATGTAAAAAAAATCAAAGTAAAGCATCTATCTTAATTAAAAAATAAATAAGATTGGTGTCAATATATACATTTTTTAAACTGTATCTTCTATGATTTTTCACTTTATTCTTAAATTTGACGCTGCGTTGATTCAGAAAACTAGCAAAATAAGTTTAAAATTATGCAAGCTCCTTTAATATAATGCTAAAGGGCTGATACAATTTATTGAAATTCAAAATTTGCAATAAAAGTATAGCTTAAAGAATATTTCTTGAAAATTTTCCATGATGGCGGCCATCTTGGCGGCCATCTTGGATTTCTTTGATCCCCATCATTTTTGCCAATTTATGCCGGTGGTTTCATATAGTACAGACATTAATGAACATTTTGGTATATAACATTCATTGTTGCAATGACTGTCCAGGTTCATCATTTTCTAGGCCCTGATTGTCACCCTACCACTAATCACTGTTTAGAATTTTGTACACACAATAATTTAATAACATACACTTTTATTTTATATTCATGTACATAATTTTTAGCAAAGACATATTATGATATTCCTTTGATAATTGATACATTCTAATGTAGAACACTCTACTGCATGTTTCAGGTTTGAATGACATGGACGACACGGAGGAGACAGTATTCCAGGCACCAGTCACACATTTAGTACAACAAAATGGAACTGTCATACCAAATGGTACCACTCATTTAACAGGGAAAAAATCCAAGCTCAAATCTGTTCCTGAAGAGACAGAGCCAGAAAGCAGCCCAAAGAGCAAAAATGTAATGAGTCCAAAGAGCGGAATGATAACCAGTCAAAAAAAGAAACATGGACACAGTCTGGTTAGTGGTAGGGAAGTAGAAATTGTGAACAATGGAAATGTTTATACAAATATAAGCTTAGATGACAGTGATTATGAGTTTGTTGAAAACTGAATTGAAATATAATGAGATACATGAGGCAGGTTATATTTGCCATGTTTTATACAGGTAATACATTAAATTTATACCGGTAATACATTATACCAGTAATAATTTATACCGGTAATACATTATACCAGTAATAATTTATACCGGTAATATATTATACCAGTAATAATTTATACCGGTAATTCATTATACCAGTAATAATTTATACCGGTAATACATTATACCAGTAATAATTTATACCGGTAATACATTATACGGTTAATTCTTTATACAGGTAATACATCATACCGGTAATACTTCAATGAAGGTGTTTCTGAATTCCAGAACTGATTGACCCTTAATTTTCGTTGACTCTAAACTTACAGTTGTTGACCTACTGACCCTATTTGTCTCCATTCCCGGTACTTACACTAGAGTAAAACTATTTGCTGTCACACATGTGACCGTCGACAGGATGGTGAAATGTTTGTTATTACTTACATGTCATTGTTAAATGATATCAGTTCTGGTGACAGCTTTCATATTGTTGATATGCCTATCGTAAATAATCTTAAAAAACTCATTGGTATCAAAAAATTGTGTTAGTTGGTGAGTGAATGTGTATTGAAAAGTACAATAATAACATTCCTTATTTTGTTGTGAGCCCATTTGTAGATGATTCGGTCTTAAATTTATGAAGGCATTCCTGTAGATGATTCAGTCTTAAATTTATGAAGGCATTCCTGTAGATGATTCAGTCTTAAATTTATGAAGGCATTCCCTTTTACTTTAGTATAAAATAGATTATTAGAATTTTGATACTTTGATCCAACTATGTTTTTTTTATGATTTTGAAGTATAATTTTTATAACCACATTATTTTATATCAATTACTTCCTTCTTGGCCAATACTTAGGATAAGTATACTTAAGAGATAATTTAGATATATCTTAAAGGGGTTTCAGTATTTAAAACAGATTAAAGGCATTAGCTTATCATTGATAGATTTGTTACAAATTATTTTATGCGGTAAAATGATTAATTTATAGTTTTACCATTATCCAGTAGTATTTCATTTTGATAAATTTCATTTGATGTTAGATTGTGGTTAGAAAAGGTCTGCAATTCTTACTTTTTGAAAAAACTTTAAGGCCATTGCATGTACTTTAAATAATGCTCATCAGGGCACCTGAGTTTCCCTGCCACTAATAAAGTCTGGAAGTTTCCATATTACCTGAGCAGTTTTACTGTGTTGTTTGATTTAAAGCTGCATGCCATTATATTTGCTACTGTGTTAGTTAGGCAATAAGTATTTTTGCATATTTTGACCTCTTTTTTTGGTAATAGGTAAATTACTACTTTTGTCCATTTAACAATATTTTTCATTTAGATATATTTTTCAACATGACAATTGGCATGTATCTGGAGACATGCTGCTTCAAACCCATCTATAAGAAAATCATAGGTATATCCAATAATATATAGAGGATATTTGTTTGTTTTGCATGTAAGGTTGAAATATATTTCACTGAGTGAACACCAGATGCAATATGTTCATGAGTGGCGTAGCCACGAGTGAAAATATTATAGCTGGTGTTCACAAATGAAATATATTTCAATCCGGGTATATGTAAAACAAATAAATTTTCTTTTTATTTCATGCTTTTTAAGTGATTTTAAGATTTTTTGACTGATTTTGCAGCGTAATGTCGCACATTCTCCTTTATCATCATCAATTTTGAAATATAGTTCTGTTAAATCTCTAATTTTGTTACTTTTTTAATGTGATGTATGATAACATCAACTTTCTTTTCATACAGGAGCAAAATTTACATATGACAGCAATTATCTTGCAAGTTATTCTATTTAGTTATGATATTCTTTTCATCCGCATTCAGATCTAGTACGGCTACAGTGAAAATTATATTTTATACATTTCACTAGTGGTTTATCAGAATAAAATCATCAAATATATTGCAGTAAAACACTGGAAAGCATGAAATAAATGTTAATAGCAGGTGATTTAAAAATGTGTAGTAAGAAGATTTCTAGGTCAGAAGATTAAAGGTTAAAAGAAGGTTGCAGTGATCAATATACACAGTTATATATGTTCAGTAATTGAAGAATACTTTGTCCAGTGGCTGCAGTAAAGTAATCACAAATTGGTTTTAATTATATAATTACTGGTTGCTTTAAGGTCATATTGACCTCATGGCTTAACGGTCAAAGGTCATATGTTCAAAAATTATTTTTCTAATAAATAATATAAGAAAATTTATTACTTTGATACATTGCTTATAGCAACATGTAAACCTTTCTGTTATGTGCTTTCAAAGAAATAGTGTTTTTTTTTATTAACAAAGAATGATTTTCTAAACCTTTTTTTATTATCTTAATTGTCATAAAAATGGCACCTAATGTACATAACATAGTATTGTTCAAAACTGCTATGTCATAATTGTGCTGAGGATTTTCTGTCTGTTATAATGTTAGGAATAGAATGGAATTTTATCAAGTAGGTACTTGAAAGGATATTGTGTTAATGTAATTAGAAAGGACTAAGGACTTTATCATGGAAACTTAGACTTTATATAAACTAGTCTGTATATTGTCACCTTATTGCAGTGACAGATTAACTCCTTATATAATTTAATAGAAGTTACTGCACAAAGGTGTATTGTTAAAAAAAAACATTTCAAAATTAGACAGCATTCAGCATCCTTGCTTCGTTTTAGCTAGACCGTTCGAACAAAAAGGAAGAGCTATTGTACACACCCAGGCCTTGGCATGACACTTTGGTTATGTGCCAGTTGGTATCTCAAAAACCACTGAAGGAAATATATCAAAAATTAACACACTTTTAGAGCACAATAGATGGTCACTATCCAAGGGGCATAACTCTAACAGGGATTTTGACAGAATTATGGCTCAATTTCTACATTATCCAGGCTCTTGTTTTACTATCAAGCATTTAGAATAGTCCAGCAGACTGTCTAACTGACAGCTTTTGTTTTTACACATCTTGGAGTAAAAGAAAACTATATGAAAGACAGTCACAAATTTTTACATATATTTTGCTGTTTCCACTTAACCTGATTTTTGTATCTTTGTAATATATTGCACCAGGAAAGTGTAAAATTGTAAGAAAATTCATATATCTTTGTAACATAATTGCATCCTAATTGCCAATGTTATGACACATAATATTATATAATTGATATAATTGACTAGTATTGAATTTTTTTTAATTTTATTTTTGGCAATTAAGATATGTTTAAAGTAAGAGGAAAAATGATTTTTAAAGTTCTACAGATGAATTGTCCTTGGCCTCGATTGTAAGCAAACAAATCGTCATGTTATCATATAATCTCTACTTGTCTGTTGATTGAACATAAATCTAAGTAACTGAAGTGACATAGGGTGGTATATCAAATTTATAACAGTGACATTTCCTGGTTCTTATCCATAAGCTTTAGATAAAACTTTTTTTGATAATACTGCATGTTTGTAACGTCGCTTTTCAGTGGATTATTATGACATTTATATATTTAGATATACATGGCTGCTGTCAATTTGTGAAGAAATCTCACTTTTTTCTTTAAAAAAGGAAGTTTGGTGTCTTGTAAATTTGTTATAAATATTCCTGACAGGTCATATGAGTGTACATGTATATAAATGGTTGTTTACAACATAACCCTGGGCTAGTGGCTCAAGTTATATTCCAAACAACCGTTTATATAGGGCCATATAACATATCAAAAATCCTTATAACTAATAATATACCAAGAATTTAATAACTATACTCAAATACTACAGTTTTTATGTAGAGTAGATTAAAATTTATCATAGACTGCTTTCATTTTTCATCTTATTCATTTTTGAAAACATTATTTGCGATGATTTTGTTTTATATTTGACAATCATTCCTATGATATTTAATTTACAGCAGAAATTCAGGTCAGCTTAGTGTAAGTATGGATGTCACTTTAGGGACAATAATAACTACATATTTATCATTCAAATCAAAAAGAAATAGTCCCATTAAGTTTATGTTAAAATTTGTCTCCTCTTCAAACCATACATATGAATGGTTGTGGTAAAATTCATTTATTTCATGTTATTTTATAAAAGTTGTAAATTATATATGATGTAAAGGGAGAAATATCATGATTTTAATATGTAAATATATTTTGTTATACTACGTGAAGATGATAGTGATAAAGGTTTTATTACTTTGGATATAGTTTTCCATTGATCACTATCTGTAGTCAACATAGATTAAGGCTTTTTCCATTAGTTTGTATAAACATGTCAATTATGTCAAAACCACAAGTCAAGTCAAAGATTTTATTAGCAAAAACATATATGATGTCTGTAATCAAGCTACCATGTAAGTAAAAACATATTAACGGTAAATCACAGAAGAAAATTGTATTAGGGAGAAGTTAAAGGGACTCGACTGGGGATTTTTTTTGAGAAGACAGGACAATATTTTTTTTTCTGAGAATTTTTTTATTTAATGTATGGTAGGTCTATACAAACAACTAATGTTGATCTATCTAAAATTTTCAAATTTTATGTTTTCACGCTTTCAGTGGAGCATCTTTAATATTATGTATCAGACATGACATCAGTAAATATATATATATACAAAATAATACTATAAAAAATACATGCATTATTGATCATTACAAATTCACTGACTTATGAAATTTGCCTAACTTTTACCATGCTATCTTATTATAAATGGACTTTTCCATCTTATTACCTGGACAAAACCATTCATCATTTGAGGGGAAAATTTAAAAATAGATATTGACTAAATAGCCAACAGTGCAGACCATTGTCATATGGCAGATTTTGGTCTGCACTGGTTGCATAGGCAATTTTTTATGATTATCAGGCTAAGGGTTAGTTTATTTCATAGGTAGGGAAAAAACACCTTGAATATATATGTACATTGTACATGTGAAGTTTACTATATTTATACTCTTAATAGCTCTGTGATAAGGTAGTATGTTTTTATTTGTAAATACAATGTATATTAATTTGCTTTATATAAAGAAACAATCATGGTTGAGATTTTGTTTTTAAAATGTTTAAAATGTTTGTTCCATTATTTACATATCATAGTAAAATTTTTCATGTATGTGTTTGAAAAGACATTTCAAGTGCTAGAATATAAATTTTGAAAATATTGTTGCACCATCATATAGAACAAATATAAGTTTGGAATAAATTGTTGCACAATCAAATAGAACAAATATAAATTTTGAATACCGGTATATTGTTGCATGGTCATATAAAACAAGTATACATTTTGAATATACTGTTCACAGTTTAGTAAAACAAATATAAATTTTGAATATATTGTTACATTGTCACATTGAACAAAATATAAATTTTGTAACTATTGCTGCTCAGTCACGTAGAACAAATATAAATTTTGAATATTACAAAGTCAGGACAGAACAAATATAATTAATTTGAATGTACTGTTACACACTCAAATAGATCAAATATGAATTTTGAATATATTAATTTGCAGCCATGATTGAACAAGATTTGACTATATTATTGTTATATAAAGGTAGTAGGGTAACCATTTATAGGATATTATTAAATGTTTTGTGAAACTCTTTTAATATCATAACAAAATAAGGACATATTATTTTGGATGAATTATGTACAGTATATGACCAAAGATTATTAAAGTGACATTATGCTCATTTTTTCGCTGTGTCAAAATGAGATTAATTAGTAATATATTTCATGGGATTCACTATTGGTACTGTGATTGACCAGTAATTGATTGTAAAAAATGTTTAGGATGAAATATAAAAACTACCTAACTGATAAAAAAAAAACAACAACACTCTTTTGAAAAATTTAATACTACCGATACATTCTGAATGATATTTATAGAAATTACCTTGGGTCACAGTGATTATTAATTAATTTTGCATAGTAAAATACAAAATTGGCAAACTATGGCAAAATGTATAGTAATTTTGACTTTTACCTGTGTACTCACATTTAACAACTGGATGGGCATAATGTCACTTTAACATTGAATTGAAATTTGATAATTGTTTTGATTTTGTATTTGTCAGTATTAATACACGCTATGATGGTCATTTTTTGTTGGATTTGCTAAACAGGCTACTGTTAGTACAAATATAATTTATATTGTGATTTAGGCAACAAGTTAATTGCCAATTATAATATGATACAGTGTAGCTTATTTGCATGATGTAAAGCAATTGTTAAAGAAAACTATGTGAACAATACAAGAATGCAAGAACAAATATTTTAAAGTTATAAAATGAGTATGCTATATCAATGTCACTACATTGTGAGTATGCTATATCAGTGTTATTACATTGTGAGTATGCTATATCAGTGTTATTACATTGTGAGTATGCTATATCAGTGTTATTACATTGTGAGTATGCAATATCAGTGTTATTGGTTATCTTACTGCTAGACTAGGCTAGTGGTTGGCAAATTATATCATTTATTGCACAGTGATCATCCAATCATCTTGCCATGTAATTATCATATGGTGCATATAATAATTATAACATATTAACATTTAGATTTGCTCATAACTGTACATCTGTTGTCAATGTCTGATATTTCTAGATGCCTTTATCATTTGCCACAGGGTATAATCGGTGGTAACAGGTTTTTGGGTGTATTGAAAAATTTCACTTGTTTTTCTGCGTCTGCTTACGAGACTATTTTGTGTCAGTGCAAATAAGTGATACTTTTGAAAATCATGCATTGGCATATGTCCTTTTATTTTAAAGATTATTAATGTTATTCATATAACTGCGTACTGTACATTCGATCACCTTTACTAAACCATGATAACATGAGGAGGACCTGCGTTGATGAAAATTGTAATATGATCCTTGCACTGTTTTAGTATTTACAAAATTTGGTTAGAACTTTTTTCATGCATATATAATAGACAAGGCCTTTATCAGGTTAAAGTTCATACATGCACAGCAGGACTTACATCATGTAACTCTTTGTATGTATGGTTTTCTTCTGTACATTAACACTTCTGAAGTGTTAAAGTGAATCTTTTCTTTATGTTAAACCATATTTACTTACAAATGAAGAATCTATTTAATCTTCTACAGCATTATTGGGATTATAATAAAAAGCTGACACCTTTGTAGATGCATGTGTTATATTGGTTTTCAATATATCATTTGATAAAGAAATTTAAAACAACGAAAAAACATGATTGTCTTCCTAACATGAATGTTTGCATATGTAACAGCAGCTGGTATTAATTCAACATCAGTAATATATTGTGATCAAAGGTTGTCAGTATATAAATTTAGCATGTAAATCTTTCATTACATTAGTCATTTCAGTGGATCATTTTGTCACATTTACAATGTACATTGAATATTTACAGTGTGCGGTCCTTTTTCTGTCTACGGAATTTTTCTCTCAATTGGCCTATTGACTTGTGTTTTAATTCTGCCAGATACAAAATTCAGGGGAGCATTTACAAGCAGTTGCTGTGTTTTGTCCCCATTTAACTGCAAGTTCTTTACATCTTATTCATTTATTGACTTATATCATAGATATTTTGAATGTAGATACTTGGCATGGATCTCCATCCATGGATGATGTT